TATACGAAGTCGGTTGAATGAGCGCAAACATGTCCACTTAGGTAAGCAGGAAAGTGCCACTTAGAACGTTTCAAAATTCTAAGTACTTCCTGAGAAAGACGGAAAATACCGAATTTTCCCAAAATGGTTTTAATTTTTCCATGGCCTTTTAGCGATATTCCAAAATTATTCTTGTAGGGTGCGGCAGAGAGGATGGACGGTTTTAAAAAAATCATAAAATAGTTAATTTCTACTCGAAAACAAATTTATTGATGGAATCAGGTTCACAAGGAAATAGCATTTGAGACAGTCAAGTGTGGAAAATCACGTCAGGCATGTGGTGGCCGAAATCGTCGATGCAGTGCTGGAGGCGTTCTTGGAAGTTCGCGTAGACTCTCTCCAACATCGCTCTCTCAACTTGGGCGACTCCCACGCGAATTTCGCCCTTCAATTCGTCCAGAGTTCGCGGCTTGGTCGCGTATACTCTATCCTTGAGGTGTCCCCATACGAAAAAATCGCATATGGATAAATCTGCGGACCGAGGAGGCCAATGAACATCGCCAAACCTGGAAATAAGGCGACCAGGGAAGAGAGGGCGAATATCGTCCATGGATGCTCGGGCTGTGTGGGCGGTCGCCCCATCCTGCTGGAACCACACACGTCGGATTGGAACACGTCATCCTCGTAATTCAGGGAGAAAGAAGTTGGTGATCATGTCGACGTAGCGCTCTGAGTTCATAGTAACATCACGACCATTACCGTCTTCGAAGAAGTATGGGCCAATGATGCAAGTTTGCGATACAGAGCACCAAACCGTTACTTTTGGGCTGTGCAGCGGTCTTTCGTGTAAATGTTGCGGATTTTCATTAGCCCAATAACGACAATTCTGCTGGTTAACCATGCTGTTTAGGTGAAAGTGGGCTTCGTCACTCATAGGCGAAAACGCGGTGCTCCACCGTCCAAGGCTCCATAACGACAACTGGTAAAATAATGCTAGGATGTTACGAGTCAAACGGCACCCTCCCCACCTCTCTCGTAGACGGAGGCGGAGAGTACTACCCATCCCAAAAACGTCCGTCCTCTATGCCGCACCCTGTACAATAAAATTGCCGTCTTCTTCAGCACAAGAAGGCATAATTAGAATTTCAGTATGACGCTAGAGTTGTCAAATCTGATTCCAAAGATGTATAATATGTCATACATCTTTGCCAAACCTTGGTTATTTAAAAAAAATCAGAATTGCCTAGGTGGGCCTTGAAATTATCAGATATTCATTTGTTAGGCATACATATTTATCCCAAAAACGGTTTTATTTTTTCTTGGGTTTATTTGAGATTTCAAAATAAATTACATGTTGTCATTGTTACTTATGCTACAAGTTGTTAGTCAAGCTTTTAATTCCACATTTGATCTTTCGACTTCCATCACTAACCTTGTTCTGTCATTTGGACGCTATATTGAAATGTTGTACGTTTAAATGGATTTTTCAGTCATGAATCAAGTGATGTAGTTCTTGCCAAAGTTGCAAATTATATGGAAGCAAAAAGGTGTGGTGAAACCTGAACACCTAATGCAAATTTATTGATAGCAATGACAGCAATAATCATAATCAAATCATAAAACATTGTTATTTTGTAGGCAAATCCTGACACTTTTCTGTACATTATTCACTGCTCGATTTATTTTTCTTCACTGTCTTCCAAAGTCTGTTGCTATGACCAATTTGAGGTCTGGTCTGGTATACGAGACAAATGAAATCTTATAATTTCAGACCTGTTAATTCAATTCATTGTTAATTCAAAGTTTATTCAAGTTATTCAAAGTTTATTCAAATTCAAAAACCAATATAACTTACAAATTAAAAACAACCTTCAGTACAATTTAAATAAAAAAAGCTTCAAAAATACATGAGCTTGTATGCTCTTGCTACCCTGAATAACCAAGATTGCAACAGAAATCTGAGCAAAGATACTAGCATCAGATCTAGAACCAGCAAGTAACGGTATATGAATTGTGAAAATTCTGTATACTTTCGTAAAGGGTAAATGTCTGGATCTTGTCGTCACAAATTCTAAATTACTTTTCTGCATAAACAAATCTAAAATTCATAACAATAGTACAGAAGCATACTAGAAACACTCAGAAGTATAAATATAGAGTACATAAAATATGAATATCTGAAATATGATAATAGAGGGATATTTCGAGTAAGGTCAAACTATGTTGTTTAAACAATAAAAATTTTGCGTAAAGGTTAAGCAGAGAAACAAGAGTACTACAATTTACTACAAAAGAATTTACTACAAAATAATAGACACCTAAGCTATAAGCTTGTGTGTGTCATACAATATACAAATTCAATGCATGTCTAATGGTCATAAGGTATATTATGAGCAAATGTATATAAAAAAAGAAATAAAAAAAACATTAGATAGAAACGAAATTACTGAGTTGAGTCAAGCTACCGTCGATGCAAGCATGTCAAAGTTATTTAAGATGAACTTCTTAATTCTTTTTTTGAAACTATACTTCGAGAGGATTTTATATTCTAGGGGTAATTTATTATACAACCTAATCCCATCAAACTTTATGCATTTTTGGCAAACAGATTTATTCACTCTGGTATAAGTGTAACTTATATTTATTTTAGTTCTTGTTTCATAAGCGTGGCTGGTTGGACCATTGTTTCGGGAGTGAACAAATTTTAGAGCAGCACAAATATATAAACCTCTAACATTCAAAAGATCATTTTCAATATAAACAAATCTGCAACTTGACCTACATGGGATACGAAAAATAGTCCTGACAATATAATTTTGCGTGATTTGTAGTATTTTCAAAGTGCTAGTGTATGCGGCTCCCCAAATACTTATCCCGTAAGTTAGTAGAGACCCCACAAACGAGTTATATATTGAGAGAAGACTCTTTCTGCGTAAAATATTCCTAAGAATGAAAAACTTATGAATAATTCTCCTTAATTTCGATGCCAAAAGCTCGGCATGACTCTGCCATTTTAAATTACTGTCAACAATGATTCCTAAGTATCTAATAACTTCAACTCTTTCGACAGTGTCAGCACTATCATTTATAATTAATGTTCGGTGGTGTAATGGCATGCCTGCTTTGGTTGGAGAAAACGTTACATACTTAGTTTTAGAGATATTAAGTTTAAGTAAATTGTTATCCAACCAGCATTTGACTTTATTTAATGACAACTCGGCATTCCGTATTGCGTCGTCCCATGAATGACCAGTGCAAACTAAAACAGTATCGTCTGCATATATTATCATCTTACAGTTGAAATTACATCGAAGTAGTTCATTTATGTATATGAGGAACAGTGTTGGTCCCAAAACTGTCCCCTGAGGCACACCTATTTTGATCTTTTGAATGTTGCTTAAATCTGACCCTACCTTAACTTGTTGTAATCGATCAGCCAAATAGTTCTCAAATAAGTTCAGAACTCCGCTACGCACTCCAACCTACCTAGGAACTTCTGTTTTTCTGGAATGGCAATGTCAATATATGGCATAATATACATTTTTGAAATCAGAATTAAAAACTCTATTCATCCGCGCAAAAATACATTACCGCGCGTCCATCAGAAGGAATAAAGTTATTGCAGGAAGACATGAGACGAAACGTCATATTGAAATTCTAATTATGCCATCTTGAAACGTGGCAATTTTGACATGCAATTTATTTTGAACTCCCATCTCAAACTAATTCAGGAAAAAATAAAAGTGAGCTTGGGAATCTGGTAGGCGAGACAGGTGACTGATAATTTCAAGGCCTACGTAGGGAATGCTGCTTTTTTGAAATAACTCAGGTTCAGCAAAGTCAATGTACGACATACTTTTTTGGACTCAGAAATAAAAACTCATTAACTTGTTTAAAAATCCAAAATGACGCCCGTAAGAAAAATTATAGTTGATGCTGGAGGACAAGAGACGAAATGTCATATAATTCCAATTATGTTCTACGAATTTCGAAACTTTCTAAGCGGCATCTTGTTGACTATCTTAATACGCACGTTTGTCCCCGTAGAGCGACTTCTCTAACAGTTTCCAAGATCCCAATGGTAATGGTCGAATTTGAAACACCCTGCGTATATTTGGATATAACTTCTAAAAACAATAAGCTTGATATCATGGAACAGATCGTCAATTGTTTAGACATTTAGTGAAATTTCTGAAAAAATTCCCAACTTTGACGGCTTTCAGCTCCGCCACTTTTGAAGATATTTAGATAAACTTTAGTTAACAAAAATTTTATTATCATCGATTTTAAGCTGAGTTGAAAGAAATGCTAAAATACCTTTATATTTATAAAAGGTTTCTCAAAACGCAAAATGTACCTTTTCTCAAAAAATTCAAATGAAACACCCTGTACTGTTCTACATCATTAAATTGCTTTCCTTGGGATATATTTTAATATAAGGTTTATTCCGCATTTACACTCAGGTCTGCCATGAAAACAATGAAATTGTTTTCCCACAAGACCCATGTAACACAAGATAGTCATACATTATGAAATGTTTGTAAAACATTCTAGATAGTTCTGTTGGTTTTCCATATGTCTAACTCGTATGGAAATTGAATCAACCTCAGATACTCTCAGCCACTCCCTCTTCACATTTCTGTCGAGGTTGATTGTGTGATTGTACTACCTTTTTTGTTTCCATGTCAATCAGTACGCCGGCTGATTGTGCGATGCTGACAGTAATTCGGTTTTTAAACGCAGAAGAAGTACATCATGCTCCAATTCACCAGCACCTTGTTGAATTATGTTCCGTCCTCGTCGAAGTAAATATTTAGAATACATATCGTAGTACCCTCGCAGTAGTACCCAACCGCCACGATTTCAAAGCGCGCGCGCAGAGAAGGAAACCGGCACCGCGCCCCTTCCCTCTACCTTTCTCCCCTCTGGCCGCCTATAAACCTTCATCCCTTGTTCTCGTGCCCGACCGTCAAAACGTTAATCGGCGTGCGTCGTTTATGTGCAGTGCAGTGCGAGGATCCGCTGAACATTTAGAATTAGAAAACAGGAGAGAAGGATGGCCGATAGATGTGCTTTGTCGAAAGAGATACCGACCGACGATCGACTGAAGATTGCTTTCGTCGCCGACCAAAATTAGAAAGTGGCGTGCACCTCTTTTGGGACAACGTAGCAACAAGGTATGGTCAACAATATTTTCTCTTTTGCTTGTGATAGCAAAGTTCGTCTGGTTTGTGATAACCATGGAACAGGACTGTAAGTTTGAACATGGCAGGCTAGGAAGTCGTTAAGGTATGTTTTTTCCTTATTACCAGATAGAGTTTAAGTATGTTATGTGAGGTTAGCGTTACATTTTTCTTGTGATGGGAAATTCCATCTGGTTTGTGATAACCCTGAAACAGCATAATAAGAATGCACAAGACAGTTTAGCAAACTGCCGAAGTACCATTTTTCATTAATAACAAATAGAGATTAGGTTCATATATGCGAGATTAGCGTTACATTTTGCTTATGATAGCAGTGATTACACGTGGTTTGTGATAACCGTAAAACATGTGTGTAAGTATGAACATGTCAGATTAGAAAACCGCCAATGTATATCTTTTTCTTATCACCAGATAAAGAATAGGCACTTTATGCGAGTTAATAACAGAGAGAGATTAGGTTTTATCTCTCCGAGACTAGCGTTACATTTTGCTTATGATAGCAAATTCCTTATGGTTTGGAATAGCCATCGAACAGGTTAATAATATGCACATGACAGGTTACGAGATAGCTGAAGTACTATTTTTCATTAACAACATATAGAAATTGGGTTCATCTATGGTAGACTAGCGTTACATTTTGCTTGTGATAGCAAATTCCACATGGCTGGTGGTAACTATGGAACAGGACTGTATATAAAACCATTTCTGGAATACCTTAAGAAAAAAATGAGCACTCTCAGGCTCAGCAATAATGGACAGCAACCAAGACAGAGTCCGAAACTTTGCGATGAACATCGGGATCTTGGTGTCAGCTTGTCTTTTATTTCGTTACAGCCGACTATACACTAACGAGTGAAATTTCTTGGCTTGTAAAATTCTCAAGGGAATTTTAACGCTAATATGTCACTAATATAATATAACCTAAGGTCTACCTCGGCTGGGGCTCAAAGAAACTGGCGGATCCGGTCAGAGGTATTGACAATTTTTTGTTGTATAATTTCTCGCACTAGGACATTCGTTGGCCAGGGAGGAGTCTCTAGTTTTTTGGTCACCCGAAAAGGTCCTGCATGCTATTCATCAAAAACAGCTGGTAGTTTTCTTCTGTAGTGAACTCTTTGGTACCGAATTGATGGGCTATCGCATACTATATCCCATCCTACATCAATAGGATGGACAGCTTCTGGTTTCCACGTCTGGAGCAGGTTGCGGGAAAACTACGGCAATTATATAAAGCGAGAAATCTTACTGCCCTCGCGTCAAATATAAGATCTGGAAGTAATACTGGTACAGATGAGCTTTTGCGTCAGTGAGACGTGGAAACGGAATGGGAGCTGCACCTGTCACCGTCCTGATTTTTGTTCAAGTATTCGGTGTTTCTGAAATTTCACTTCTAGAAGTAACGCAAAAATCTGATGGAGGGACCCAGGGCACCGCTGCCACTAATTCGTAAGGTTGCCCTGGTTATCGTCACGCATTCCAATCAACATCGATAATCCATCATGTATTGTGGGCTTAGATTACGGTAGGACCTTTGTCGGGAAGAAATACATGTCTGGTTTCCTACCTTGAAGTTTCTTACCTTACAGGTGATAAGAGATCAAGGTATAATTGTTTGAGCTGTCAGTCTTATACCCAAAATGTTACTAACGACGCAGTTTTTTTAATGGCATTTACAGGCTGAGGCCATCTCAACTGAAATATAGATACTGTGGTTGTCCTCAATCAGCCAAAGGGTTGCTGGTAAGCTCTGTAGATATTTGTATGAGGAAATCAGCAACACTGTTAGCTCTAACCTCAAGTCAGAGTGTTCAAACTAATTGAAACATTCGGATTTGGTTGAATAATACTGATATTGAGATTTCTGAGTTTTTAAAAGTCTCTGGGTCATTCATCTGGCAGCCACTTGAGTTTTACTGTGTTTTACGCCCAAATGTCTGTGCAAAGCATTTGTTTGTCACTGTACAGCAACTCCATCATGTTGCCTCAACTCCCAGATGGATGAAGTCGGTTTTAGCAGAGAGTGTCACAATTGACAACCCACAGTATATGAAATGCATTTACCTCTCCGCTGGCTAAATTATAGTAGTCTCAAACGTAACAAATCTCTTATGCCAAACAATAGCTTTGCTCAAGCGGCATTTGAGATGAACCAAATCTCCACACCTTAAACATAACTATGTTATTACGTTATTTTATTTGCTCATTACCATGAAATGGATGGTAATTTTTGTTGCTAAAAGCCCTAACTTGAATTGTTACAATGGAAACGTACATTTAGTTGCCACATACATTGCGTAGAATTTGTGTAGTTGTGTAAAACCTATGGTTTACTATTGCAGAGCCTTAGTAGCATGTTGTTGCAACTAGCTTTGTACATCTATGATATGTATTCTAAATATTTACTTCTACGAGAGCTTCACATAATTAAGTTCGAACATGTCTTACAGGTAAGTTCATTTGATCATGGAATTATGCGCACTATTCAAGACCGCGCGAGGGGCCTGATGATAGGCGGCATTGTTCTGCTTCACGACAACGCTCGGCCTCAAGTTGCAGCAGGAACACAGCCGCAACTGCATAAGCTTCGTTGGGAGTTTCTAGATCATCCACCATCGTATTTTTATCTTTCCCCGAGACTCAAGGTTTTTTGGTAAAAAGTGTTTCGAAAATGACTACATGTTGAAAGAAACATCTACTAACTGATTTGGTAATCAGACCGCAGCTGAAAAAATTTTCATATTTCAGTTCGTGATGTTCATAAATAAAGTTTCCCTCACTCCATTACAAAACGGTTATTACTGAAAAATCACCTTCGTAAAAAAGTAAATAGCTTTAGATTTTTTCTTCGAGAAATTTGTGATAAAATATGTATGTTCAAAACTAGGTTATGTATGTCAACTTATCTTCTTTTGTCTATAGTAGCTCTCCATTTATTCCGTGGTACTTATTTCCCACTAGGTAGTTGAGATCTATCAAAATATCGTTAAGTGTCTAACAGTCTATATTCAAATTTCATTAAAACAAAATGGCGGAAAAAATCAACCTTGATATCCCTATTTTATGAACTACAGCTTAAACGGTTTCACAGTTTTTGGCACATAAAATGTTGTTGGATTTACCTTCTCAGTGTAAGTGATACTGGCTGTATGAGAATTTTATAGAAATAAAATGACAGATTTCAGTAGAAGAGTTCAATATGGAAATTCCTATTTCATCGGGCTACAGCTAGAACGGCTAGATGGATTTAAATATGTGAGATGCGTCTAGATTTGTCTTGGCAACGCGACTGACACTGAATATAATAAAATTTCATAAGATCAAAACGGCTGTTTTAAACGCAAACATAAACTATTGCAGGCGATACAGGGTTTGATATACTTTGACATTTGAAGTGTCTTTAGATTCGGCTTGATAGCACAATAATTGAATCATTATTCTTTTCAGTTACTTCAGTCGGCTTGTCGGTATTTCTTTTTAAAATGTACTTGTTGTCCACGACATGCGCAGCGATCGATGAAGAATGCAAAGAATTAACAATTGATAGTTTTTTGAGGTAGTTCAGTCCATAGAATAGCATGACCGGCGATTGCCCAGCTTTATTTCTTGTAAAATCTGCAGTAGAGTCTCACTGATATATACATAAAAGCTCGGGACGTATATTTGACATGTTCAACTATTAAAACTTAATTAAGTCACTTATTCCAGGCAGCCAGTCAAGTTGTTTTAGATTCTGAACCGTTGCTTGCAATACGTGCGATGTGATGCCTGTGAACTTATTCCCATTTATTATGTCTTCAATAATCTGAAAAAGGTGATAATAGGTAAACTGAAAACCACTGTGTAAGCCAAAAAAAAGCAAGTACGTGTCAGCAATATTTTCCGAATAACAATTTCTTGGCACGTTAATACCAAGCAAAATAAGCACCTTTATCAAAATTTTTGACAGGATTCTTCAGCTTTGCATTTGAAACCATACCTTTCTTATGTAATCACCGTAAAATTCTTTAAATTCCTTCCAAAGGATTTGGACCATTTCTGGACCTAGAGACTCCATGGCATCATTCATTAACTCTTCAAGCTCAGGATCGCCCATGAGATTATAGAAATGATTCTACAAGCAACATTAGGTGTCTTAATTTTTTAAAATCGTCTTTTCATAAGCTCAAAGTATTGTTATTTACAATAGTGGTACAACAGTGTGATAACAGCACACTAAACTGTGCCTAAGTACATTTTGTAGAGGGAAAGTAATATCTACGTACCTTAACCTGCTGAACGCTGACGTCTACATCCGAAGTAGCACATATGGCTGTGGTATTCACATATGGTGGCCATTCCATAGTTGCAGCAATGTTAAAATTGATCATCTGAAACCTATTAAAGACTTGAAATTAGGAATTTATTGTTATCATCATTAATAGTTACAGAACATGAGTTGAACCAAAGCAAGTTACATGGACAGTTATTGACATGAATATTAAATAGGATACCAACTGTCCAAACTAGAGCTCAGATCGATTTTGAAAATATCCATTATTATTGACACTAAACAAGTTTGTACGGTTCTTTCTCATTTTTATAATTGTGCCTAGGTACCTACGTGGCTTATCCCGGACGCGACAGCCCACGATAAAATACAGAACAACGTATGTCCTAAAAGTTTCCGCACAAAATTCATTGGCTTTAATTTTAACAAACAAAAAATAATATCAAGTTGCCCTTGGAAACAAAAGTTTGTTCGCGTACTTTACTGCCAGTTGACATTTATTTATTTGAAGTGTTTGCTTTAACATCTCTTATGAATTAGAAATAAGAAATTTTTTGGATATTCCAGAATGAAAATATTTCACCCAGAAGCCTTTATCGAAGAATAGTGGAGACACAGAGGTCAGAGAGATTGGTGAGAAGAGCAAAAAGTCTGGTTGGAATGGCTCGTCAGTACAGATCTCCTAAGAGCACGATACTGTTAGAATTGAGGAGCAATCAGGCGCGGATCCAGGGGGGGTCATGGGGGTCATGACCCCCCCATCCAGGCGAATTTAGTTCGACCATCAATCTTTGAAGTTCCAAATCTCTTAGATAAATCTGCAAAGCACACATATTGAATGGATACCGTACTGGTATTTTTTACTAAACATTTTCAGCACTGCATCCGTCAACTTTCATTTAACTGTAAGCTCATAGATGATAGCGCAAGACTGGTTGCCTATGCAGTCAACTTGATGTAGGAAAAACTTCTTCGTGCGCGCTTAAGCTGTGAGCAAATTTGATACCAGTGGCGGATTTAAGGGAAAGGGCCCGGTCGGCAATATGCACTGGGGAGACCCAGTGGTATGATCGGGGAGAGACGGCAACTAGTGCGCACTATAACTGTTTTGCGAATAACATAAATTACTGCAATTATTGACGGCAATGGAAACTTTGAAAGTTGCATGATAACTCAGAAATTAATATCAAAGTTTAATGCGTGATGTCATGTTAATCCAATCGTACATCAGCCTGGTTTTTGCATTTAATAGTACGCACGGGCACGGGACAGGTTGTAATGCGCATTGTAATTTTTTGAAGTAAATTAAACTTGATAACTCACCAGCAAACTTCTTGTGCATAATAGAGTTTAAAAGTTATCACGGATGCTACCGATAAGTAAAGGGCGTCGATTCAAATTTGGAGTGCACGCTATTTATAGAATTTGCATAAAATTATAAGTAAGAAAAAAAAACAAATATGATCGATAGTTGTTGTCATGTTTGCCGTGATTCATATTTCATTGAATACAAACTTGGTGAACAACACTAAAATACGTTAAATAACGTGCGTTACGAGTACTACAGGATACATACTGGGTACTATTTGCAAAAGTGATATTCTCCACATTTATCGCTATTTGTAAATTAGTGACGGCAACTGAGAATAAAAAATTAGACAGATCTGCACAAATAACCGAAACAAGCTCAGGGATAGTGCAAAAGGCTTTTCAATAGTAATTTGATGCAAAAATTTTGTCTGATGCTGCTTCAACGTGCGAATAAAACAGCTACTTCTCTCATGCGAATCTAAAACTTTTCGATAACGTAAAATCCATCTAAATTGTTCAGATAAAGTTCGAACTACAGATTTTGCTGGCAATATGTCACATATTAACAGGGGCATACAATTATATGCACAATAGGAGCTGCTGCGCACTGTTACCTCTGTATATCTCTCTCTTTATATAACCTGAATCAAGTAGAGACTGTGAGATCGAACATATTTTATTCAATACAAAATAACAGAGTTATTCTAATTTGAATCCGCCTCTTGCTTTTCGTTCAGCAAAAACTTCCATCGCAGAATCCAAATTGAGTGTATTAGCTAATGATCTTTCAGTATAGAGAATAGAGAAGTTGTTGAGTATGTTTTTAGCCATAGGAGCTCGACGGTATTCCTTAATAATTTTCAAAGAGCTAGCTGAACCGACAGGCAAAGTAAAAAACAATCTGGATAAACTGCAGCTCTCGGGAAAACTGTCTACAAAATTGTTTGCAATCATGAACTTCAAATAATCTAGTGGGCTGTCATAAGTAAAATTACGATTTTCCGAAAAATACATGCTTGTAAAACTGGCTAATGCAAATTCAAATTAGTGACGCTGGTTTATACTTCGTTTTCTTTTAGATTGACTAACTCCTCTGGCATCAAAAAACAAAAAACATCATTCACTTCACGAAATTCTTCAGCACGTTCTTGCAATTAGTTAGTCATTGAATCCAAAACTTCGTGGTAATTCATTCGATGTTTTTCGAGTGCTTCCAGTGGCGAGTCAGCAGCTTTTTCGTGGAACATTTTTTTTGAGTTTCCTCTTTCTGACAATGGGAACACCAGGATTTTCCCATTCCATCTCTTCTCATTTATTCTTAGCCTTAAAAAAATTATCGTATGTGCTTTCGTTCCTCAAATCTTTTAATTTTTTTAATGCTGCTGAAATGCTCCTTTGAGCCATCATCAAGTCTATTTCTTTCTTTTGCATTTGAACCTGCACAGTATTCGTTACGCTCAATACTGAATGCCACCCTAACAAATTGAGGAGAAAGGTCCAGTTCATGGAGGAAAGGAGAGATCTTGCATTCATTATATCTTCGCCAGAAGCTCCCACTCTTGAAACTTCATCTTCTATGCAATTGATAATAATGGGTGATTTTTTAAGAGGTATAGGATTTGATTTTCAAAAAAAAAACACCAAAAACCGATTAAATCTTCATTTGAGTCGATAGAACGGTCGATATAATTTAATGTTTAAAGATTATTTCATGTAAATGTTGGCCGCTGCTCCGCTTCAGATGGCTCATGCGCAAGGTCCAATTTTGGCACACTCTCTCCAATATATCGGCCGGTATGTCACGAATAAATGCTTCAATATTGGCTTCCAGTGCGTCAATCGCTGGGCAAAAAAAAGGTTTGTTATCATCGCACGGTAGCGCTCGCCATTCATAGTTACGTTTCGGCCATTGTCGTCTTTGAAGAAGTACGGCCCGATGATGCCACCGGCCCATAATCCACACCAAACAGTGATTTTTTCGGGATGCATTGGTAGCTCTTGCAATGCTTCTGGCTGGTCTTCACTCCAGATACGGCAATTTTGCTTATTAACGTACCCATTCAACCAGAAATGAGCTTCGTCGCTGAACACAATTTTTCGATAAAAATGTGGATCTTCCTCCAACTTTTCCAGCGCCCATTCACCAAATTGGAAACGTTGTGGGAGGTCGTGTGGCTTCAATTCTTGCACCAGCTGTATCTTATAAGGTTTTACACCCAAATCCTATCGCAAAATTTTCCACGTAGTGGAGTAACAGAGGCCCAATTGCTGCGAACGGCGGCGAACCGACATTTCACGGTCATCACTAACACTGGCGGATACAGCCGCAATATTTTCTTCAGTCCTCACTCTACGTCTGCGTGTTGGTGCTTCAATGTTCAATAATGTAAACTGGGTTCGCAATTCAGTCACAAGCTTCCGAGTAGCTCCCTGAGTAGGCCGACCAAATTGCCCATAAATTGGAAGCAGTGCTCGATGCACTCTCTTAACCGAGCATGAATTTTGATAGTAAAATTCAAAAATTTGCAAGTGTTGTTCGTTCGTAAGTCGATTCATGGTTAAATTATAGACCAAACTGAACAAGTTTGACAATGACACAAGACACGATTCACGCGTCGTCTGTCAAAAACAGTGTTGCCAAAAAGATACTAGCAAAAAAATCACCCATTACATCCAAAAATTTCTTCCACGATATTATCACGAAGAAAATAGATATGGCACAGTATTGTGAAAGTTTACGGTTATAAGCATTGAAGTCGTGAAAAGACTGTAATAGACGCATTAGAGTATTTATTAGACTGAAAGAAGCTGATTCATATTCATATCAACCAAAAACTAGATACCTACATACACTTATTATCTACCTTTTCCACAGTTCCATCACCATATTGCCGAAACTACGAATCAAATAATTTGTCGCTGCTCTTGAATTTGTTCCTAGACTACATTTGGATATCCACAATTGGGGATCAGACAATTTTCAAGAGGTAAACCACTTTCAGCCATTTGTATTAATATACAACTTTGACACAATTTTGACAAGCCACATCAGTGATACAAAATTCTAAATACTGAGTGTGCAATGACTCGGAGAAAGAAAAAGGATGAAGATGAGACTGTAAACATTAGCTGTGATTCTATTATGTCAACGCAAGAAACATGTGAGTACTTAAAAAAACAGAATAAATTATTACAACAGGAGTTATTAGAAAAAACGAAGGATTTAGAAAATTGTCAAGCATTACTTTTGGAAAAAGAAAAATTAATATACCACCTATCAAACGAAAACAGAAGATTTCAAGAACAGTATGACCTTATTTCTTCAAACATAGTCGATAGAGACTGTATAGTAACACCACTTGAGACACTCCTTAGGAGAATTGAGAAGTTAGAGGAAACAACAACCAAAAATTCCACATATGCCCAAGCAGTTATAAATTCACCATCAAAGAATAAAGAAAGGACACTTAAAAGTCTTATCATTACCCCCGAACAACAACAGTCTAACTACAGAACTAAGAACGAGCTGAGCAGAAATTTGAATTTATCAAAAATAAACATCAAAATTGAAACTGTTAAGAACTGTAAAAATGGTGGTATTGAATTATATGTAGAAGATCGCTACCATAAGAAGCTAAAAGAAGAAATTGGGAAGAATCTGCCATCAACATATACAATATCCGAACCGAAAATGTTTAATCCTAAAATAAAGATTGTTGGCTACCACTCTGAAGAAAAACTTCAAGAACGTGAAATAGAAGAAGATATTATGCGACAAAACCACTTTATAACGAAA